TTATAACTATAGTTGGAAGTGAATGATTTCTGGACCATGATGCCTGAAGATTCTCTAGAAGGCTGCGAGCTCAGCTGATACTTGAATACATGAAAAAAATTATAAGAACAAACGATAAATAATATAAATACTACAGGAGCACGATATGGTGTGGCCCGCCGGTGGGCCACGCGGTCGTCAATGAGTTAACCGTGTAGCACACTAAAATTTTGTGAGGGTAGCCTCTATCAACACCTGGTCTCCTTCGGTAGCTCAATTTTCTCGCAGCTTTTTGCTTACTCATAATTCTCCTCTATGTCTGCACATCTCACACCAAATGCTTAACATCATATGGAACGGTCCTGCCTGAAAACTCGAGGACGAGCTTCCTGTAAAGAATGGAGATGTCGAGTCATACGTCAGCTATGTCGAGTCATGCGTCAGTTCCAGACAGCCGTGTCAAGATATGCGTAGGCTCGAGACTGCCGCCAGGATTTCATCAGCCTTGCCGCAACACCGACGAGAAAGCTGTCATGCCATCCATCAGGATGGCACGGTACAAAGGCAGCCGCCTCATGGCATGGAGGGCATCGTCTCGGATATCACCTCAGCCGCCAGGTTAACCACCGACCCTTCGTCAAGACTATATAGCCCTCTCGTCTTGTCCTCTCCCCTGCCCCCTCTTGTATCCTCCCTTTGTAATTAACTTGTGTGTAACTTAACTTTGTAACTTGATACCTCCATCTCTCCAGCAGGAGACGTTTTAGCTTAGTGGTGGGAATTCCAACTTGAACACCTGTAGACATGCGATATCTCCTACTAATACATTATATATGTATGCGTCACCTGCCCCACAAGAGCTATGTGATCAGTATCGATATCCTTTCTGTCACACGCGCAGGTAGAGCTTTCCATGAAATTTTTTCCCAAAAGTCTTCTATTTTTCTATTCCTTCCAGGTACTATGCAGTCGTCCAATAGACTTCTATGAGGATGTTGCTGCACTGTGTCTGAGCCCTCTTGCCTTTCCTTCATTTTTTTTGCTTACTTTTATGCCTTTCTGTTCTGCTAGCCCTCGCTTCTCCCTTGCGGGTCTTTCTTCACTTAGTTTATGCTTACGATTTGCTGAGTTTGCCTAGATCAGTTTCCTCTTTTCACGTCTTCATTTCTACGAAGTGCATCTTTCGTGCAAATAATAACTAAATGAACAGATAAATAAATGACCAAACAGTCAGAAGATGAAATAAATACTCGAGTCTATCACCCCGAGAATTGGCAGAAAAAAGATCAAAAATTCAAGGTGTGATGCAACTGTATCATTCATCCATTACGATGATAGAAAATTATGTTGTTGTCAAAGGCAACATTTGCCTTAACACTCTCTCTATTACTGAATCAGTGGAATTTTCCGTGGTGGTTTATGCACAGTTGTTAGGGTAGTTGTGTTTGGGCCGCAATTTTGTGGGAGCCAAAGGGTTGAGGCAGTAAGCAGCGAAACCAAATGCGCGGGAAATGGTAATAGGTCGTGGGCCAAGAGCAAGGGGGTTGGTAGTTGGAAAACTAACCGTGGCCGAGGAAGGCGGTCGTCAAAGCACCCCTGGAGTCCTGCCGCCACCGAGGAGAGGAGCTGCATACTTCCCGGGCCGTAAGCGTTCAGATTTGGTGTGCTTTTTTTGTATTGTAGTGGCCTTGGTGGCAATCGTGTGAACTGAGTGTTTTAGTTTTTTTTGTACCAAGAATTTGTGTGTTTATTTGATTCCTTTTATTTGTTCTTGAGATGAAGAATTTTATTATCAATCCGTGTGGTACGTAACCGTAATTTTCTGGATTTCTACTTTAACAACTTGCCAAACCTAACTCAGTTCTGTGTATCGAAAATGATAGTTATAATTTCATGAACGCATAAGAGAAATAAATGGAGTTTATAGGAAAGAAGCATCAAGGAGTGTTAAAAAATGTGTCTGGGCTTTTTAGACACCCCATTGTATACAACAAAACTTCTACAAATCAGAAATAATTATGGAAATCCTTGCACATATATGTATGTGCACCGTAGGAAATGGTGATCGGGGGTCCACGAAAACTGAACTTTAGCACGAGAAGTGCACGGCACTTTTGTTAGAAAATCATGTTAAGATGGTTGTTTAAGGATGATTTCCGTTTTCCAGCTGCCACCACCTCCACCCCGATCCCCCGGACGAGTTTATTGGTGGAAGGTTCTGCAGTTTGAATATTCTATTTCTGTTCTGCGGCTTGAATTATTTTCGCACGCGCATGATTGGATAAAAATCAGAAGGCTCTAACTTTGAAGTGGATTCGCACGTCGCTGGCTGTTGGTACAACGCTACCGTCGCCTTATTATTCTATCTAATTATTCTTCTTTTCTCAAAACTGTCGTCGATTCGATAGTATATTACAGTACAGATCTGTAGCTCTGCAAAAGATACTGCTGTAGGTACCCGAATTCTTATGAAAGTCCTCCTCTTGAGCTTTACACCTGTTGTCGCGAGCGTGTAACTTCATGACCCTGGTGTGGCTTTGAAGAGGGCGACAAAAGTTATGACTAAATACTCCACAATGCAAGAATAAACTATGGGATTCCATTCTTCACAAACCGTAGTAATTAAGAAGCTCTCTGAAGCTATTAATACTTGGTAACACCTCACAACAAGTATCCAACAGAAACGAAAATTCAGTACGGGCACTCGGCTCTTACAGTAACCCCTTGGCTTGCCCATCACCCACCCTCGTGTCCTTGCCCAAGGCCCCTTTTCGACGCGTCATATATGTGACGGGTGAAAATTTGCGTATTAACACGTGCCAGATTACTGTAAGAGCCGAATGCCGTACTAAATTTCCGTTTCTTTCTAGTAACCTCCTGTCTTCCTGGGCGTGAAACATTTACCTTGTGTCGGTTTCTTGTTCACCTGACAATTTGAGATTCCCCTGTCTATCTGCCCATCCGTAAGAATTCCCATGACTATTTATAAGATTGAATATGGAAATCCCCTTCAAAATAAGGTAGTGACAATTAGTAAGGGGTGAACGATAGCTTAGAGTGTTAGTGATAGCACTAATTATATTGCAAAAGTGTCAACTTTGCCCTGTTAGTTCCAACTAGTTGGTAGTCATTATTATCGTTTTGTGGCGTGATTGATCAAATTCATAACTTAGCTTTATTCTATAGTGGAAAAATGATAGGGTATACACGCTAATGTTGGTACTTGAGCACTATGATCTCAATAGGTTTCAAAAGCATCCCTTTCAGTACAGTCGTGAGTTGATTGAAGTCGAGTGATTGCAAGTTTGATAGCGTCGCCCTTATGACCATGAACTTCTGCAGTGATTAACGCACTGCGAGCTTTGAATTAATAGGAATGTTACGTTATCCTTTCTGAAGACAGGAACTCCCGAATCACCAGACGCTCTCTTTTCCCAACAATCTCAGTACGGTTTGATGTCAAATTTCCCGATTTCATTAGAACGGTGGTATTTTTTTGGATGCGCACACACGAAGATTGAAGGTTGATGAAGGAGAAGAAATTAATTCCAATCTTACAAACAAGCTCGCTTTGTTTTAACTGCATTTGCATGGGGAAGTAAAGGGAAGTACCAGAAGTGAACGCAGTGAACATGTTTGTGTCGTGACGCTGCTCACGACGAAAAGGTAAATCTTAAGAGGAGGATCTGTACATTGATTGCTTACGCACAGCATTATACCTTGCAGAAAGAATGGTCATAGATCTATATCCAGAAGAAAGGGGTGCGAGAAAAATAAGTCGTATCAGATTTGTAGTGGTGAGGCAAGAATAATTAGCTGAAAGGGTTATACACGTGGAAGACCACTGCAAGGTTAAAGCGATAGGCTACTGCAACGTTAAAGCGCTCCGGCTGTAAGAATTAGGTTGGCAAAAAAGTCCTGCGACAAGGAGACCTTTTTTAGAACATTTCTAAAATTTTTCATGTTAATCAATTTTCGGAAATACATTTACCAAAGAAGTAAACAGCCTTCTATTATCCTTTGAGCCAATCACTGATGTCATATCTTCAGGATGAGGAAGCTGTGACTCAAAGAAGTAATGGACTGCTGTTTTCAGGTCACATTAAGTCACGAATTCTCTTTCCACAACGGGATGCTCAAGAACGCGGAGCACATGGTAGCTTAAAAGGGCAACGCTTCGGGAGTACGACTGATGATCAACCTGGAACCAAGCGGGATCGATGAACTTTTGACGTGTGTCTAAATCGAATTTTCGACGTACCTTGCCCCTTTGTAGGAACCTGATTTAAACCTTTGATCGTCCTTCTCTCTCCCCGTCGGTCAAATAAAGGGGATCATAGAGGTAAGCGATAGCTGTGTCCATCTAGTCTGCGTTTTGCAACTTCTACTGGGTGGATTCCTTCAACCTCCATCAAATTGAGGGACGATGCTCGCGTTATTCTGAAGGCTAGTATCTCCTCCAGTGAAGCGATCCAACCGACTGTTGACCGTTGAACGGTGAGCAGTGCTAGCATTGAATAAGTTGCTGATAATTTGAGCCGCTACACCCGCGTTTTTCCCTTGCCGTGCTTAGTAGGTGATGGCATGAATAGGATGTTGTTCATTTCTTGACCGTAATGCTGCGAAAGCCCACACGCGTGCCATTACTTATGTGTTGAGGAATGTCCCCACAAGTTTATGACCCTTGCTATCGTGTTCACACTGTTGAAACAAAATTTCAACTCTTCAAATCTTCTTGTCGCAGGACTTTTTTACCAACCTAATACATTCAAATGTGCGTGCGCGAGAAGATTATTCAAACTGCAGAACCTTCCACTAAACAAACGCGTTCCGATCCCCCTCCTTATTTTTAGTTTGATGGCTTCAAGGTCTCTATCTCTCTCTACCACTCGTGGAGCTTCTCGAATTCCACACTATTTTCACGAACTTGAATATTACCCACGACTACACTTTTGTTTGGTTTTCACTTCAGGTCCAGTGCCACCATACGAAGAAATAAGTATAAATAGACAAGAGCATATCTACCTTCTTCGGAACAAAAAAAAAATAGATGGGTCGAAAAAAAAGCTCACGCGAGAAGTCGATATGTGCGTCACAGGTAGATGGGCCATGGGAAATGTGTATGGTGAGTTGCGCCCGTTTAGGCGACCATTAGGTCCAACTAACGGCACGAAAACACTAGCTTGTACTAAGTCACTCAACTCTGAAACGTTTCTATCAATTACCCCGCCCATATTATCAAAAACTAGCCAATAGAAAAACCAGATTTCGCCGTAAACTACTTACCTGGAGGGATATAGTGCCCAAACATCTTTGATTTCTAGAAGCACCGGCAACAGAGCACTCTGAATTCTGCAAAACCTGCTTGCCATTCAGAACATGACACGAAAAAGAAAAGAAGTAGCAAGTTATCTGAATCTAGGATTTTCAACCGAACAGGCGGTCATCACAATCATTTGATATACGATGGAGAACATCTTATCATCATCTACATACTTAGTGATACACAGAACAAATAGAGGAAATTCACTGTCAGTGGCTGCTTTCATACTTCGACGTGCGTGCCGGTACGCAGGTGGAATCGCAGGTACAAACTTGCGTGCGGCGTGCGAGCGGCTGTGCGACGGCGGCGCTATCCAAGTGTGTGACAGCACTGGCACGTGATCCATCGGCGTCCAATGTTGTCAACACTTTCTAGCGCCGCCGTCGCACAGCCGCTAGCACGCCGCTTGCAAGATTGTACCTGCGATTCCACCTGCGCGCCGGAACGCACGTCGAAGTATGAAAGCAGCCAGTGAAAGTTATATGTCAAACAGAATTCCACCACTAAACATCGGCAATAACAAAGCACAGGAGAACAGTTGTTGTAACAATTGGTAGCACGAATGTCAAATGATTAAAAAAGGAAAACATAGTTCATTAATTAGATAGATTGCCTCCCAAATACTGAACTCTGAGTGCTAAGTTTTTAATAATATTCAACGTCAGTTCCGCTACATCGAATGAACTATTCCATGGAAGACAACAAACGAGAACGTAGCAAAAAACAAACACAACTAGACTCTGATCAGCAAACTCACTTATCAACGAGCACATGGTCAATCAAGTAAACGAATTCATACAAAAACATTGTTTTTGAAATCGGCAGCTGATTCGATACTGTTGCATCCTATTCGTAGTTCCTATAACAAATCATTCGTAACTATCAAGGAAAGATAAGAAGTAGACAAACTAAACAACGAGAACGCGAGCGGTCTGCGTACAAACTATAAAAACGAAAACCTAGGATACGTCGCCCGGTTCTCACAGCAATCCGGCTGTGAACCCCACCCCACGAACTGGTTGGCTTGCTCAATATCTTTTTTAGATGATCGGTAGTAAGACGGGATTAAGATGTGAGTGTAGAAACAAGATTATGTCGTAAAATGAAAATTGTTGTACGTGAATGGCTTTCATACTTCGACGTGCGTGCCGGCACGCAGGTGGAAACGCAGGTACAACATTGCGTGCGGCGTGCGAGCGGCTATGCGACGGCGGCGCTATCCAACTGTGTGACAGCAGTTATCCTCGATTTGCGCTATCGACCGCTACCCACTACAGTCACACAGTTAGATAGCGCCGCCGTCGCATAGCCGCTCGCACGCCGCAGGCAATGTTGTACCTGCGTTTCCAACTGCGTGCAGGCACGCACGTCGAAGTATGAAAGCAGCCAAAGGCGCACGGCTGCTTTCACAGGGTTACAGGGAAGTTGTCAACTACAATTTCTCTCGCTGAGAGATTCAGACGATGAAGCAATCTCTACGTGT